TGCCTGGGTGGGTGGCTCAGTTGAATGAGCGTCTGACTTTGGCTCATATCACAATCTCCCAGATCATGAGTTTGAGTCCCACATTGGCTCACTGCTGTCAGCAGAGCCTGCTTGAGTCCCCCTCTCTGTCCCCCTCTCTCTGCCCCTCCCTCAAGACAGTGTGCTCTCAGACTCCAAAATAAATAAACATTAAAAATTTTTAAAAGAAAGACGGGGTACCTGGGTAGCTTAGTCAGTTGAGTGTCTGACTTCATCTCAGGTCATGATCTCATGGTTAGTGAGTTCGAGCCCATGTGGGGATCTGTGCTGACAGCTTAGAGCCTGCAGCCTGCTTCGGATTCTGTGTCTCCCTCTCTCTCTGTCCCTTTCCTGCTCTCTCTCTCTCTCGAAAATAAATAAATACTTAAAAATTAAAAAAATAAAAATAAAAAGACTTACTATATATCTATCATGTGTCAGTTCAAAGAGCTAGAAATATTTCAGTGACCAAAACAGAGAAAAACCTCTGCCTTCCCAGAGCCTACATTCTAGTAGAGGATGCACAATGAAAAAATAAATCGTAAATATTGTTAAAATGCAATAAGCACTATGAAGAAAATAGAGGAAGTGCTGGGGGTGGGGCGTACCATTTCAAAACAGGGTGTCCAAGCAGGGCATCACTCAGGTCTTGATATTTGAGCAAAGAGGCAAAGAAGATAAACATGTGACCCACGTAGAGATCCAAGAGACGCCATCAGCAACAGCAAGTATGAGGCTCAGAAGCACCACGGGTCTGCTGAGTACATATTCATCGATAAGTGTTCTTGCAAAATGAATATTGTGGTTTTATGTTTAATGGTTTATCATTTTAATTTTCATAATTGCATTTGTAGTCAGGTAGCCTCTCCAAAGAAGCAGAACCAAGAGGAGAGACAGAGAGAGAGATTTACTATGAGGAATTATGTTGTGTGGAGGCTGAGGAACCCAGGATCTGCAGTCAGCAAGCCAGACACATAGAACTGACACATACCGTGAACTATTCCAGTACCGTATTATGTTTCTCATTCTGCTTCTTTCTTTCCCTCAAAGTAACGTTTTTAAGATTGATAGCTGCCAGGGGCGCCTGGGTGGCTTAGTCGGTTAAGCGTCCGACTTTCGCTTAGGTCACGATCTCGCAGTTCGTGGGTTCGAGCCCCGCGTCGGGCTCTGTGCTGACTGCCAGCTCAGAGCCTGGAGCCTGTTTCAGAGTCTGTGTCTCCCTCTCTCTCTGACCCTCCCCTGCTCACGCTGTCTCTCTCTATCCTAGAAATAAAATAAAAATATTAAAAAAAATTAAAAAAAAAATTAAAAAAAAAAATAAAAAAAATAAAAAAGATTGATAGCTGCCAGCAGGCAGATTTCTAAGATGGTCTTTGCCCCTGGGGCATGATTATGGTACAGGTAAGTGGCAAAGCAACATTGTAGATGTAATTATAGTTACTAATCAGTTGACATGAAGCTATCCCAGGGAGCGGAAACTCCTCACAGGAATCCTTTACAGGCAGTTTTCTCTGGTTTGTTGCAGAAGAGAAAGTCAGAATCCAAGCATGAAAAGGATGCAACATGCCATAGCTGCCTTAATGATGGGGGTGGGGGGGCATGTGGTGAGAAGTGGGGCACCTCTAGAGTTCAGAGCAGCCTGTGGCTGACAGCCAACAAGAAAATGGGCACCTGAGTGCCTCAGTCTGTTAAGCATCTGACTCTTAATTTCCACTTAGGTCATGAACTCAGTTCGTAAGTTCAAGCCCTGCATTAGGATCCACACTGACAGGAATTCTCTCTCTCCCTCTCTCTGCCCCCGCCCTACTCACACACACACTCTCTCTCAAAATGAATAAACTTAGGGGGAAAAAAGAAAATGAGGGGGTTCCTAGGTGGCTCAGTCGGTTAAGCATCCGACTTTAGATCAGGTCATGGTCTCATGGTTCGTGAGTTTGAGCCCCATGTTGGGCTCTGTGCTGACGGCTCAGAGCCTGAAGCCCCCTTTGGATTCTGTTTCCCTCTCTCTACCCTTGTTCTGCTCACGCTCTCTCTCTTTCTCAAAAATAAATAAACATTAAAAAAAGAAAGAAAGAACATGAGGACCTCTATCCCACTACTACAAATGACTGAATTCAGCCAACAACCTGAATGAGCTTAAGGCAGATTCTTACTCAGAGCATCTAGATGAGAGCTCGGTCCAGCTGACACTTTGATTTCAGCCTTGTGAGACCCTGAGCAGAGCACCCCGTCATGCCCCAGCTGGACTTCCGACCCCCAGAACTGTGAAACGGGCATTGTTTTAAGACACTAACTGTGTGCTCATTTGTGACCCAGCAATAGAAAATGATTACAGAAGTGCTGATGTACATTTCACTCATTTTTAAAACACTAATATCGTATTTGCCTCACATAGGTAAGATTCCAAGAACTTTACAAATACTAATTTCCTAATGGTCCTTAATATGTTGTGATACAGGGCTTATTATTTTTCCCAAAAGGGAATCTCTGTCTCTCTCATTATGAAACATATATAACAAAACACTTGCTAGTCTAACCATTTTAAGTTCATTAATGCATTAGCATTAATTACATTCATAATGTACACCCATCAGTATCTAGAGTAGTGTCCCTCATCTGTGGTTGCTCTTCCCCATGGTCAACCTGATCTAGAAACTGATGATTCTTCTGACAAATTGCCATAGGGTCAATAGTAGCTTAATGCTGTGTCACAATGCCTGCCTTTCACCTCACTGTTACATTGTCCTGTGCTATCACAAGGAGAGTACAGTACAATTAGATATTTCGAGAGAGAGTTATCACATTATATAATTTTTATTACAGCACATTGTTACAATTGTTCTATTTTATTATTAGTTATTGTTGTTAGTCTCTTACTATGCCTGATTTCTAAATTGAACTTTATCATAGGTAGATATGTATGCAGAGGAAGAAACATAGCATAGATAAGGGTCTATGCTATAGTCAGTTTCTTTTTTTTTTTTAATTTTTTAAATGTTTTTTATTTATTTCTGAGAGAGAGAGAGAGACAGCGTGAGCAGGGGAGGGTCAGAGAGAGAGGGAGACACAGAATCTGAAACAGGCTCCAGGCACTGAGCTGTCAGCACAGAGACCGAAGCGGGGCTCGAACCCACGAACTGTGAGATCATGACCTGAGCCGACTTTGGATGCTTAACCGACTGAGCCACCAAGGTGCCCTACTATAGTCAGTTTCAATCATCCACTAAGGGTCGTGGAATTTATCCCCCACGGACATGGGGTGACTAAAGTATTTTTCATCACCACAAATATCATTGCTTCTAATTTGCATTTCCTTTTGAGCATCTTTTCATATGCATTTCAGTACCTTTACATTTGATTCTGCCTTATTCACCAAAATAAAAAAAAATAGGGAAAGAGAAGAAGCTTCAGACTAATAAAGCAGCTAACACAGCACGCTTGTCTCTGACTAAGAGGGCCTTGAATTTGAATACCAGTTCTTGCCTCTCTGTTGGGGTTGCTTAATCTCCTTGAGCCTTTGTTCTCTTACCTGAGGAATGAGAATAGTAGTACGGGCCTCTCTAGATTCTTTTAAGTCTTAAATGAGATGGTCTATGATCTATAATCTATCTAATGGCTATCCCCATTCCTAGCAAAAGTATTTGGTAAACAGCAATTATTATTAATTCAGTTTCAGATGCCATTTATTTCTTTTTATAAGCTTATTTATTTTGAGAGAGAGTGCGCATGCGCAAGTGTGGGAGGGGCAGAGAGAGGGAGAGAGAATCCTAAGCAGGCTCTGTATCATCAGCATAAAGCCTGATGCAGGGCTTGAACTCACAAACCGTGAGAGAGATCATGACTTGAGCCAGGATCAAGACTCGGATGCTTAGCCGACTGAGCCACCCAGGTGCCCTGGGCAACCATTTTGTCTGAACCTTTCCTCACCCCGATGGTGGAACAAGCCATCCTTATGATGAGGGCAGCACCATCCTTCCTGCCAATGGTTTTGGCTCAGGGGCAATTTAAATGCAGAACCAAATGGAGGGGGGGGAATGTTAAATAGCATTCCAACCATAACCTTAAATAAAGGGCAATGTCAGAGCAACAGATGGGATGGAAAGGCTGCTGTTGGCTGTGGGAGCGCTCACCCCCCAGCAGGAGGAGGAATGAATGGCTCTACTGCCGGCCTTGCCGAGAGAAGATGCTCATCATGCTGATACACACACGAATCTCAAGGAGTGCGGATGTACTCATGGTGTGCTTTTAAAAACGCTGTGATATGCGAATGCCTGCGCATGTGTTGGGTCTGAATTCCTTTCAGGTAACTGATGGCACCAATAATAACTAAAATCGGCAGATTGCACGGATGACGTAAGCTTGCCACCATCAGTTTCTCAAAACACAAGTCAGGTTTTGCTTCCCACTATTATTATCTTGTGTCCTGTTACGAGCAACGTAGACTACAGGCATTTCCTTAAACTTGCCAAAATGCAGAAAGGACCACAGCGAGCTAAAAAAAGAAAAAAGCATGACCATGTAGGAAAAGTGTTTTTGACTCCAAGAGTGAGAGTCCAGTCGAATCGGGCTGGTCATGTTGGCTCAGTGGTCTTTCCTTGTGCAGTTTAACCAGCTGGTCCCTAGCATTTGAAAAAGAAAGAGAAAATCGAATGGCCCCGTGTACGTCCTTTTTAAGGGATACTTTTTGTTTCCCATTTTATCGAGGCTCCTCTCTTCTACATTTTAGAATTTCTAATTATAGAATTTGGTTACTGAAAATGTGTGCTTTAGGCTAGAGAAGAATATTTAGAAATCCTTAGTCCAAAGAAAAGCAAGTGGGAGTGGAAATTTGAAAGAGGACCGCCTAATTCAGCACTAAAACCAGTGTGAGAAGCAGTGTGTGTGAGTGTGTGTGTGTGTGAGCACGTACGTGTGTGTGTGTGTGTGTGTGTGTGTGTGTGTGTGGCTAAAATGTGCTTTTCAAAGTGCTGAGAGGTTGATGGGAATGTTTGATTAGCTCCTCTGAGAAAAGAGAAAAGTTGCTTGGACCTCTCCTTGTTTCTTCTTTAGAATAATTTGGATGGGATTTGTGATGCAGAAAAGCTTAACGAAAAAAGGATATCCCTTCTGTGTGGTGGAAATTTTTTGAAAAAAAGTTGCTTTCTTCAAACAAGGTATGTCTGATGAATTACTAAGCTATGTAGATAGTTTGCTTTCCATACCTTATTATAAAAATGTTAAAGTGTATTTCTCATTATGAAACTACAGTACATACCTTGGCCAAGTAATGAATCTGGACAGATTTCAGTCCCAGGAGAATTGAAGGGAGCAGGGGTAGTTAACATTCTTGTAAACAACTAATATTATGTATATCAACTATAAATAAATTGTGCTGAGATAAGATTAGAACAAGATTTTCATTGTATTTTTAAACCAATTTAATTATAGTCAAAAAGAAAGTTGAAAAGTAGGACATTTGTGTAGAACTTTAAAGTACCTTTAAGTCTCTTTATTATCCTGCCCTTTTTTAAACCTTGCTTCCTACATGGAATATAATAGAATTGTAACAAGTTGTTTCCAAGCATGTATGAAAAGCAGAATAAGAAACGGACACATCGATGCTAAATGAAGAGAACTTATTTAGTGTGAATCTATACTCTCCACTCAGACAAATCTCGGTGGAATGTGGGTAGATGTGAAATTGTGTATCTTGTTTCCACTGGAGGTGTTTTCTTAGGCTGAATGCTTCTTTAACTGATAAGCCCGAGAAAGGGCTGGCATTGTTAAGTCTACTATTGTAGCCCAACTTTGCACAGGGAGATGGTACGAAATCTCTTTTAAGCATGATTTGTGTCAAACTAGTATAAACATGAAATAAATGCCTCAAGCACAGGTTAAACAGAGAGGATAAGATCGAATAACTAGACTCAATGGTTTGCTCTGAAAAACCCAGGCATCTCTGCCGTTCCCCAAATTGAGAGTGGAATTCCAGATTTTCTTTGGGTTTATTGTAAAAATAAAACCAGGCAGTCTTGGCCATGGTGGTTATTCAAAAATCTGAGCGCTAAGAAAATAGCATTTTGCCATTACGTTGTGTTGCAATAAATTTGGAAGCTTTGGTGGTAAAGTTCTGAGGTTGTTTTTCCCTCCGCCTTTTGAAAGATGAAAACGCCCTGCAGCAAAGCAAGATCAAATGCTATTTGTTTGTGTGTTTTCTCTGTAATGTGTGTTAGTTCCAAGTGGTAGCTAAGCCTCCTCTTCCTCCAGTAGGAAAGCTGGAAGTGCCTGTCTTTTTTTATTGAATTAAAATACCCTCTTTTGTACAAGAGCTTTAGACAAAGAATTGCAAGACTAAAGGGCTGCATTTTTAATTGCAATGTGCTGGTTTCCCAGACTAAGCTTCATTTAAATCTATCTTATACCTCGCCACTGAAAGGAAACACCTAAGGAACAGTGGAAATGTTCAGTCTCTATCCTGACATAGCATCTACTGTATGAATATCATTTAGAAGATCTAGCTATCTTTTTTTGCCAGGTTACTGATCCTGTGAGGAATAGTTTCTTTCAGAAAAAAAAATACCCTGGGTTTAAAAAGGTTTATGAATACCATCAGGAAAACAAAAATGCTCGTGCTCTCTCCTCTGTAATTCCTGAAGGACGAATTGTACCCCGAAAAGCAGTGGGGTGCAGCACAAAGTTCTAAGCCAAGAGTCCTAAATTACAGTAACAGTTCTGCTGCTACCTGGCTGTGTGAGCTTGGGAAAGGGGTGCAACATTTCTTGACTTTTGTTTACCCATCTAAAAAAGTAGCAACGCCTGCATGCACACCCGCCCAGGGTGGTCATGAGGTTCACTATTGATTCTCAGCTCCAAAAGGGTTTTGAAATGTGCAGAGTCCAGTGGAAATGAAATCTTTTCCCCCACATATTCAAAAACGGATTACACTGGAGGGAGTCATTGGTCTTGAAATAAATGTGTCACGGCTTCCAGAATGTTACACATGCCCATATGTGTAACTTCTCTCCTTGCTTATTTAGAAGCAGCAGCAGTGAGGACAGGACACGGCACACTGGTCTGTCAGTAGAAGGGCACTCTAGCTGTGTAATCTTGGGGAGGTTACTCGACATCTCTGTGTCTCCAATTTCTCACGTATGAAGTGAAGAAGTTGGACAAGATAGTCTCTAGGTTTCCCTCCTAATGCTATGGTCTATGCACTGGGACCTCTCCAATGTCAAGACTTCCATGGCCAGGCCTCTGCATGTTACAAAGTGAAGAATTATCAAAATGGGGGTTGGAACCTATCATTTATTTAAAATATTTATGTTTACCTAAGACTTTAACATACACAAAAATGAAATGTACCAAAATTGCATACTGCATAAATGTAACACAACTGTGTGTACATGTGTATATGTTACTATATATTATATAAGTATATATATATATGTGTGTGTGTGTATATGACAGTTTTTTTTAATTTTTTTAATGTTTTATTTATTTGAGAGAGAGAGAGACGGTGTGAGCAGGGGAGGGTCAGAGAAAGGGAAACACAGAATCAGAAGCAGGCTCCAGGCTCTGAGCTAGCTGTCAGCACAGAGCCTGACGTGGGGCTTGAACCCATGAACCATGAGATGGTGACCTGAGCCGAAGTCGGACGCTTAACTGGCTGAGCCACCCAGGTGCCCCTATATATATGACAGTTTTATCATGAGGACAGTGTGGTCCAAGTTGAATGCCAGACTTATTTCAGTTTTCCAGTACATTTCTATGACAATCTCTGTGACCACATGTGGAGATAATGTCAAGTATCTCAATTTAAGGCCTTCCATACAAGGCCAAGGCCAAGTGGTCCTCTTGTGCTATATGGATCCTGTGGGGGTTTGTCTGGCAGGAAGGTCTGCCGCTTCTTAAATGTGTTAACCTTGGCAAGGTATATAATGTTTTGGGCCTCAGTTTTCTCATCTGTAAAAGGAGTCTATCATTAGTGCCTATTACTCTCAGGATTGTGACAAAAAGCTTGCATCGGTGCTTGATATACCATCAGCACCCAAATGTCAGCAAAATTTTCTGTATTATATGTGACTAGAATGAAGAAATCAGATCAGCTGTGAAACACATCGATTGTGATACCCTTCAGACTTTCAGACGTTAACTCTGTGGATGTCCTAAGTGAGTAGAGCTAGGAAATTATTTGATATAAGTATAATTATGAGAAATGTGTTGCCATTTCTTCATCCAGAGGATATGAGGCTAATTAATCAATCAGTAAATGATAAGCAAGAGAGGGGACTTCTGTGAGGTCTGTAATTTGAGAAACCTTGAAGGTCCTCTAAGAATGTGTCCCTCTGGTTTGCAGAAGGGGATGGAATTCCTGGCGTCCAAACATCCACGGTGTGAGCTAGAGAGCTGCCAAGGGCATCTGCCACATTTTACCTGCATGAAAGGTCCTTGGGCACTTGGCAGTGGGCAGCTTGTGTACTTAGTGCACAGAACAGGGAAAGAAAGGAGCGGCAGACCAGGGTGAATTTAGCTGAGGCGTCAGAAATGGCTGTTTGATATAGTGCTGGCTCTTAATTTTTAAATGTGTATTTATTTTGAGAGAGTGAGAGAATGGGATGGAGCAGAGAGAGGGAGAGAGAATTCTAAGCGGGCTCTGCTTCGACAACAGGGGCTCCATCCCACCAGCCGTGAGATCATGACCTGAGCTGAAATCAGGAGTCGGACGCTTCACTGACTGAGCCACCCAGGCACCCCTGGTTGTTAATTTTTAATTAAGTGGCAGGAGCGCCTGCCAATAACCAAGGCCTGCAGAGCTGCTTGTCGGCCCAGATCCAGCCCTAACTCCTATTACTTGCCAGCACCCCTGGGCTCACCTGCAGCTAAGTTGTGCACCTGTACCCCCCCAGCTCAACTCCCATCAGCGGGTCCACTGCTGTGCACAGCCCATCATGAGAGCCCACGGCCACAAGAGAGCACAGTGACCATCAGGGGCCCTGTACCTGCTAGTGCACCAGCAGGTGGGCCTGGCCCCCACCACTACATGTATGCCTGCCACTGGCCCCTCCACTGCACAGGCGCCTGCATCTGACCATGGCAGCCCCTGATGCCCACTGCCAGCCCCAGCCATCACCGTTGCCTGCCCTGGTCTCTAGCCTCTGACCCTGAGGCATCACTCAGGACCCAAACAGCCCTTGCAGATGCACCGAAGTTCTCACCAAGGACGACACGGTTGTCGATGTTGTAGACCCCAGAAGCCCAAGCTGTCAAGGTATCACAACTTCTTGGACCCGGAGCCACCACAAGCCCCTACACTTGGTGTCCTGCACCACTAGACCCAGGGTTGCGGTCTGCCCCGGCACGCCCCGGCCTGCAGGTGAAGTCACCTTACCAAAGTCAACCTTTCCTTACTGAAGACAGGCTATGAAGTCTAGAAGAGGTAACTGGACACTGGACAAGATCATGAAGAAACGGAAACAACATCACCAAAGAAGCACAGGAAATCTCCAAAAACCAACCCTCAAGAAATGGAGATACATGAACTACCTGACAAAGAATTCAAAATAATTGTTCTAGAGCTACAAGAGAATACAGCTAAATAATTCAATGACACCAAGAAAATAATACGAGAACAAAATAAGTTCAACAAAGACCTAGATGACATAAAAGAGAACCAAAAAGAAATTTTACAATAAGGGGAAAAAATTTTAACTAAAACACACACACACTTAAGCGTGTGGAGACGAAGGATCAAAATCCAATGAGATTCCCAGAGGCCCATGCTCACAAAGGAACAAAGACTATTTCAGTTTTGTTTATTGCATTTTTCTACAGTTACCTCATCCGTTAAACAAACAGTTGTGGGTACTAGATTTAGAATTTGTTTTTAATCAACTAGAAAACTTTCCACTTCGACAGACTGCAAATCTTGAAGAGATCCTGAGCAGCTGCCTATCTGAAATGCTCGGGGCAGCCTGGAAGTGTACAAAGCAGGCAGCAGGTGATGCTCCGAGTTGAGACCCATAAAAGCTGCACATCGTGTGGCAACCTGCAAAAGGCAAATCCCCCTTGCAGATGTTGTGACTCGGCTGAAATCCTCTGCCACATTCCAGCGCGAATATCCTGAGGGAGAAAGGTGGACTGAGATCATGGATGCCAAAATCCTTCCCTCAAATCG